AAGCTTCGCCTTCTCCGCCATCTACAGATCCTGCTCCTTTTCCATCAGACCCATCCTTTCCTTCACCAGATGCTTCGGTTACAGCATCAGAATCTGCTCCTCCTGCATCTTGCTGCTCTCCCTCTGCACCAGAGTCTGCTCCTGTAGAACCAGTATCTGTTCCTTCACCACCAGATCCTCCTGCTCCACCAGGTGATGCTCCTGCTCCAGCACCAGGGTCTTGACTTCCATCATCTGGTCCTCGTTCTCCGTTACTTCCCACGCCCTCTTCAGCAGCAGGTTCGGCGTCTTCATCACCAGATCCGTCTGTTTCATCATCCGATTCTGCGGCTCCTCCATCGGAGCCTGTTGCCCCAGCACCAGAACCCTCTCCTCCAACATCAGAGCCTGGCTCTCCATCACCAGTTGCTTTTCCCGCAGCTTCGGCCTCTGGTCCTTCATGACCTGATCCTACTCCTTCACCATCAGATCCATCCCTTCCATCACCAGATTCTTTGGTTACAGCATCAGAATCTGCTCCGCCTTCACCTTGCTGCACTCCTTCTGCACTAGAGTCTGCACCTGTAGAACCAGAGTCTGTTCCTTCACCACCAGAGCCTCCAGCTCCAGCCGGTGATGCTCCTGCTCCAGCACCAGGGTCTCCACTTCCATCATCTGATCCTCTTCCCTCTTTACTTACAACACTCTCTTCTTCAGCAGATTCGGCTTCTTCTTCACCAGATCCTCCTGTTTCATCATCCGATTTTGTTGCTTCACCATCAGAGCCTACTGCTCCAGCACCAGAACCCTCTCCTCCAACACCAGAGCCAGCCTCTCCATCACCAGATGCTTTTCCCGCAGCTTCGGCCTCTGGTCCTTCATGACCTGATCCTACTCCTTCACCATCAGACCCATCCTCTCCTTCACCAGATTCTTCCGTTACAGCATCAGAATCTGCTCCGCCTTCACCTTGCTGCGCTCCTTCTGCACTAGAGTCTGCACCTGTAGAACCAGAATCTGTTGCTTCACTACTATACTCTGCTGCTCCAGCACGAGGTGCCGTTACGTGTGCATCAGATTCTGCAGGCTCCGTATCAGCGTCTGTTGAATCACCTGCTAAAGCACCCGAATTTGCTCCGTCAGCATCAGCGCCACCTTCTGCAACAGATTCAGCATCACCGACTACTGGTTGACCAAGAAGTCTCTCGGCTTCCACACCAGAAGCTGCTGTGGCTGCAGGTTCTGTTTCTTGAACAAGAGACTTAGGTGCTGCAGCAACACTAGGTGGTTTTACTTTATCACTGGAATCTTCGTCAACACGCGGTTCTCGTCCTTCGTCAACAGACCCTGTTGCTCCATCACCATGTTCTGTTCCTTGAGGTTCGGCAAGGGGGACAGGTACTGGAGAGGTTTCCTGCTCACCGGCAGCTGGAGAGTCAGCACTTGCAGGGTCAGCACCGACGTCCCCAGAAGTTTCCGCGTATGGCGGGGTAGGAGAACCACCTGTTAAAGGAAGAAGCGTCGGAGGTTCCTCACCAGGCGCCAAAGCTTCTGGCAGTGACTCTTCTTTAGTTTTAGCCCTGCGTAGGCGTCTGGGGCTTAGAGCTTCCTTGCGAGGGGGCTCTGGTATGGGAGCAGCAGCTGCTTGCGTTACTATGCCCCCTGCAGCGGCGTAAGCCGCAGAGATGACTTGGCGGTTGAGTTGCCGCATGCGTCCTGCCGCCGTTGCCACGTCCAGCACGCTCGCGGCCTCCTCTGCAAAAGCACTTTCCATATCCAGCAAGTTTCGCAACCTGTTGGCCTCCTGCCACAACTCCTCATTCGCCGCTTTACTTTCAAGGGAATCGCGGCCAGTTTGTATGCTGAAGAGAGGAATCGAATTTGCGCTTTCAGCCATGTTCTTCTCCATCTCGTTCAGCAATTCGACTTTCATAATGACCTGCTGGACGGTACAGCGGGCATCCATTACTTTTGTGACTTCGTTTATAGCCCTCGTGGCGGCGTCCACAACGCCCTGTACGTTTTGTTCCTGCTTGATTGCCCTTGCTGCCATGGCGCCCTCTGAGAGGCTCTTAGTAGCGAGCTCTTCTGTGGCAGCCAAGGTTGAGAGCAGACCATTTACTGTCGTTTTGCACAAAAACGGCCGCGACCCGCTCGTGCGCAACCCGATGTCTGACTCAACTCCACGTTTCACAAGACTTTTAGCCCTGGAGACCGCTTCCTGTACTCCCAACACGGGATACTTCGCGCTATCCACGCACGTGTGCGCCAACGACGTGAGCTGCTCTTGAAGCACAGCCAAGACTGGCGGAATCGGCAGCGCCTTCAACTTCTTCTCACACAACTCCAGAGATGTGTTCAGCCTCTTGTAGGTGTTTGCAGCCCATGCACCCACTGTAACAATTTCGTCGACAGTTCCCGCCTTCGCTAGGTCACCGACTGCGTCTTGGAGTTGGTGGTATCGATTCTGCACTGCTTTCAGGATTTTTTGTATCTCAAGCACGGTTCTCCATGCATCCATCGAGCGAGACTGTTGGGCCCTCATACTTTCTTCAACGTGCGTCGTAAAAGCCTTTATTTTTTCCCTTTGCATGTAAACACTTTCTACATAAAGCTCAATATTCATGGCCAACATCCGTTTCAGGGACGGCAACGAATCATTTTTCAGCTTGTCTACCGTTCTGTTATTACTAAGGATGCCCTGTGTGAGCGCCATGGTGTACTGCAGCTGCAGGCTGTTTTGGATGAAGGAGCTTGCGTCGTTGGGGGTATTGAAGGGGTGTACTTCTTTGCTCTGTGCCATTATATGTGAGGCTAATTTATGCATTTCCAGTGATTCATTATGAAGAGATTTCGTCAGCACCTGCAGCGCATCGGCATATTCACTTCCCACTAGCCCCGCAAAATGTGGCGATGCTTCTTTGACCCAATCGGCAGATATTGTTGGCATATGCTCACATTGTTTCTTCATAGCAGCACGTGATTCACTATCCATTGCACGTAGTGAACGTGTTGCCTCCAATACAGATTTCCCTATCTTATTCAAAAGTTCACGTTCACGGCTCGATGCCCAAGATGGAAAAGATCGACTCTTCTGCAACTTCAGCACCTCCTCCCTGCATTCTCGTGCCTCTTTTAGAGAATTGCGTATTGCATCGGCGGCAATATAGCTCTCATCTGTTCCTAAACTCTTAGCTAGATTAATAGATTCAATTTCTAGGGGTTCTATCAGCGTTAATTGGCGAAGAATAGAACGCCTGCGTAGGTAATGCGGCGTACTTAATAAGGCATACAGAGCAATAGTACCAAGGATCGCCATACCCATTAGACGCCTATTCTTCTGTGAGCCTAATAAACCACCTCTTGATGGTTGTTTATTAGTAGTTGTACTAGAAGCCTGTGAAGGTTCATCCCCTATATTAAATAATAACTCCCTGTATCTTTGTCTTGTTAGCATCCTTTGTGACATACGGGCAGTTAAATCCTGATCTCCTTGCACTGTCTTTGGTGATTCTTCTCCTCCTGCTGCTCCTGCAGCGTTCTCTACTGATGGGGATCCTGCTGCCTCATCTCCTGCAGATTCCTTGTTAACCTCCCCCCGCATACCCGCGGAGGGATCGGTCGTATCCCCACCATTTGATGATACTATTCCTTCTTGTCCTGGTAATACTTTATCTGTAACGGCAGAACCTGTATTATTAGGATCCCACACTTCAGATGGTGCAGCTGCTGATGCAGCTGCTTGCAGCTGTTGCTGCTGCTGACTCAGCAGCAGCAGCACTGATAACAGCACTAGCGGAAGCCGCCACCCCCCCCTATGAGGACTGTACATCGTTAATAGAGTCAAAGAGGCAATTGGTCATCAGTGTTAAGCTCCTTAGGCACAGTGGCCATGAGAGAAAGATGAGAGGAGGAGAGTGGTAGAGGCAGGGAGAGGGAGAGGGAGGGACCTGGGGAGGTGAAGGAAACCGCTCCTCTAACAAAGGAAATAAATAGGAGCAGCAATCAAACTTAAAAAACAAAAAAAGGTATTCAAACAAACAATAATTATATCCCCTTGTAATCTACAGGAGGAAACAAGGGAACAATAACAAAGAATACAAGGAGAACAACCGTGGCAGGTTACTACTCTCCTCTCCTTGTCAACAGATGCCGCTGCCGCCTCCTGTAGGTACAAGGAGGCAGCAGCATCAGAATAAGGAAATTAAACGCTAAATAAATGATATTAAAACTGTAAATCAGTATATTACTTATATTTAATTAACATATATATTTTTCCTCTCTTTACGTACCTTTTTCTCCTCTTATCATAAGGCAAGAGACCAACACGATGGGCAGCCCCCCACACCACCGCTCGCGATATCGCCGTGCTGCAGCAGGGGAACCGATCCCCTGCAAGAACTAGGGTTTACAAACATACAGCATGAAAAATATAAACCCTCAACCCTAAAATATAAACACTGAAACCTCCTTATTCAAGAGAAAATAGGCAGGGGAATGAGCCTGTCACTCCCTCCCTGCATGCCTAGCAGGCACTGCAGGACGCGACGGTAACACCGAGACAGGAGGCGGCGACCTGCCGAGACACACACGTAGGAGTTGGGGTGTACAGGCAGCTCTCCTAAGGTTCCTGCACATAATTATGGATGGTGCAACTGTTGTAAGTGCACATTCTGCAGCTAGTTTGCTCCAGCAACTGCTGCAGGACTCTCCTGCTCTTGCTGTTGCTGCTGCTGGTCTGGTTGCTGCTCCTGCTGCTGCAGCTTCTCTTGTCTGGTGCAGATAAGGCACTCTAAGCGTAGGATCATATCTCCTCAATCTGCAAGAGTTAGACTTGAAGCCTGCCTCATTTCCTCAGCAGGAGAGATAGAGGAGCAGCAGGGCACACGTATCTAGTAGGTGCATTTATTAATGCATGCATGCATGCATATACCTGTATAGTATACACATTTGTTTACATTTGTTTATTGTATATAAGGACTATACTTAGCAGCAGCAGACAGATAAGATAAGCAGGGGCTGTATTCAATAGAAGATGCATACATGTGTATATGAATTGTTGCATGCATGTACGTATATAGTATATATATGTGTATTATATATAAGGGTTACCTACTTCATTAGCGTATACATATGCCGAGCTGCTGATGCAGCAACAGTAACACCAGCAGCAGCAGCAGTAGCAGCAGCAGCAGCAGCATATGTCTGCTGTCGCTGCATGCAGCGAAGGGGAAATAATTATATTAAGAAAAACGTTTATAAGAAAAGCTCCCCTCCTTATATTTATTCATCTGTCTGTACACCCAATAAAGGATAAGGAATAAATTATATTGTATTAATGCAGTACCCTATCTAATAAGAGGGAAAAGAAGGAAGAAAAGAAGAGACAATCGTTTTTTTCTTTTTTTCCCTTTCTCTTTATGTACAACAAAGTCTTTATAATGGGGCTGCATGCGTTCTACCTACTAGACAAAGCTGCATGCATCAGGTGTACGTACACCGCAAGGTGTCTCCTTAATAAAGCTAGAGTTTCTTACTACTACTGAGCACCTGCTGCAGTTGTTACTCTGTTACTGTCTCCTTCTTCCCTCCTCTGTTGCTGTCTCCTTCTTCCTCTTATACCGCAACAAGGGGAGGAGACACCAACAAAATAACCCCTTGTCTCCTTTGCTACTCATTAGCGATTAACAGAAGTCTGTACATAAGTACCCAAGAACCTTAATACCCTCCAGGGGGCCCCTGAGGAGGGGCCCCTGAGAAGGGGCCCCTGAATATGGCTACATGGGCCCTCACCAGGGTAGCAGCAAGGTGTACGTGCATGCGATTGACCCACAAAGGAGACACCTAGATGTGTCTCCTTAGGTTGTGTGGGGCCCCCATAAAGGATGTCTCTTGGGGCCCCTGCAGCAGCAGATGCAGCTGTGGGCCCCGTAGAGCAGCAGATCCAACTGGGGCCCCCCCAAAACAGCAGATGCACCTGGGGGGGCCCCTAGCACCCACCCACAGCAGAAGATGTAGCTGGGGGCCCCCCAGCGCAAGAGAGGGCACAGAAAAAAGCTCATAGATCGTCATTTGGATCCAAGCGGGAGAAGTCGACCCCATCTCGGGGCAGCTGCAGCACAGACACAGCAGCATATATATATATATATA